GCCCCCTGCAGCTGCTGTCAATCAAACACAGACACGCCCCCTGCAGCTGCTGTCAATCAAACACAGACACGCCCCCTGCAGCTGCTGTCAATCAAACACAGACGCAACAGATCTGTCCTCAGTTCAGCTGCAACAGTAAAGGTCAAAGATCAGAGGAAACACCTGTCATCAGAGCCTCAAACTGTTTCCTCAACATCTGGAACCATGTGGAACCTGATCTGGAACCATGTGGAACCTGATCTGGAACCATGTGGAACCTGATCTGGAACCATGTGGAACCTGATCTGGAACCACGTGGAACCTGATCTGGAACCATGTGGAACCTGATCTGGAGCCATGTGGAACCTGATCTGGAACCACGTGGAACCTGATCTGGAACCATGTGGAACCTGATCTGGAACGTTCTCACAGACCAACAGGAACTAAACCGAGCTCCTGTCCAACCGGACAACAAAGCTGCATCACACAGGAAGTCCTACCTTCACGGTGGGGTAGGTCTTCCTGTTCTTCTCGCTGGAAGCACCCGGCAGACCCCCGTGAGACGGACCCTCACAGCCGTACCTGAACCTGAAGCCTCGCTGGAAAACAGAGAAAACATGAGCTGAGACCAAACCTCATTTAAAACCATCGTTTATTCAGATTTATCCCGTTAAACATCCGTCTGACTGCTCTCCACTCAGAAACCAGCTCCACTGATATAAAACTCTGAGCATCTGCTTTATTTTGAAAGGATAATAAAGAATGTGTTTTATTTTGAAATAATACAGTATGTGTTTTAATTTGAAAGGATAATAAAGTATGTGTTTTATTATGAAAGGATAATAAATATGTGTTTTATTTTGAAAGAGTAATAGTTAAACAGGTGAGCTCAGCTTGACTCCATCTTTACAAACTTTTCATGGATGTCTTTATTCTTTGATTCTCTGACAGATAATTTAATCTCAGGGTTTTGTTCAGATGGGTCGGTGCAGGATCTGCAGTACTGTGGGGGCTGTTCCGGTCTGCTGTGGTGAAGCTCTCTGTTTACCTGTCAGAATCAGTCAGAGGGTAAAACCTGCCTCAGGTCTGAGGTTTACCTGTTTGGGCTGCTCCAGGATCTGCAGGAAGGGTCCGTCCACTGAAACTACAAACACAAGAACATTTCACTCAGTGCTGAGCTGAAGCTCTGAGTTTATTCAGACGTTACAGAAAGACTTTCATCATTTCTCTGATTCAATGCTTTTATTGTAGCGGGGCAGACGAGCTGTGAGGGAAACACTTCCTGTGAGTTTCTCTGAATGTGTTTGTTGTGGAAACTCTGACAGGAAACACATCTGGAACATCTGACTCTGAACTGAAAGCTTCAACCAGAACCAGAAAATCAGAGCTTTGTTTCTGCAGACCGCCCTGGATCAAGACTTTTACACAGAACTATGTGAACCTGAGCAGAACCTGGACGGGCCGGTGGTTCTGTGCTGGTTTAGAACTTATCTGGTTCTCAGCAGAGAGACGGTGGGGCGTTTGAGACGTGAAGGTGTGACTGTGATCTTCTGCAGCTTCCTGTCTCCAAACTGCTGCAGACACTTCCTGCTTCAGCCAAACAGAACTTTCTACAGAACCCCTGACTGCACCAGAATGGACCAGAACTCTGGAATCAACCCTCAGGAGGGAGTTCAGTTTCACCTGAACCACAGCTGATCCAGGTTCTGGTTCAGGTTTTTCTCGGGGTCTTTGTGAGACCGCCCCTCGTGTGTCAGACACCGTTGATGATGTCACATTTATTCCCTTAAATGAGACGACAGAGATTCAGAAAAATGCAAATAATTCTGAAAACTGTGAGCATGAAACCCTGAGGGGGGGTCTGTCTGTTTGGGAGGGGGTGCCCCCCCCACATGGATGGAGGAAGTGAAGCAGACCGTCCTCTCTTATCCATTCGACAGATTTAATCTTTGGTTTTCTGTTTGGTGATGAAACAAACAGGGAAACGAGAGCAGAGCCTCTTCACCACCGACGACACGTCATGAAACTCTC